CCTTCAGCTGGCCAGCCAATACCTCCCTTTTCAGTGTAATCATCACCTCTATTAGGGTTGTAATGCATTATTTCCATGTTTGCCACCTAACTCTAGACTTTGCACTTCCAGGGAGCAAAGTACTATCTTATTTATCTTTATATTCCAAGTGCCTAGCAATGTACATCAAAAATATAAATTAATTAAGAAATGCATGGAACACATTACTGCCTCTGCCAATTTTTCCCCAGTGGAGAAGTCATTTTTAGCCCTATAAAGTCTCTTGTCCATTTAGTCTACAGAAGTCTAGCAATATGGAAAGAAACTATGCAGCTTTGGATATGCTAGCCAACTGCATAACAAAATTAATTGCCTGCTACGTATGTTTGGGATTGTGTTAAGTATTGTGAGTCTTACAAGGAAATAAAGGAATATCTAGTCAGAATCTATGAAAGGATGAAGCTATAAAATTATTCTTGATTTTTAGTAAATAGTCTAATTGATTTATTACAGAAATGAATGTATAAACATTGAGCTATTAAAAATATTAACTAACACAAGAAGACAACAGGCAAACACAATTCCCAATACATGCTAATGTGGACACATAATAACGAAGCAGGGGGCTGTAATGCGAGCATTCTGTTAGATCTTGCCACAATTTAGAAACTCTCATGTAATTTTTGAGTGCCACATTTCACAAAGATGCATGGCTAATTAAGATTAACGAAACTAGTTTGTGGTACCTTTTGAAATACTTTTTATTTTTGGCAGCACCAATTCTCTGTTGTTTAAAATGGATGTAGAGTTGTTATGATGCAGAACTGAAGAGCTCTCAGGACTTCCTCTGGTTTTCATAATCAAGAGCGCAAAATCCTGCTAATCGCAGTGGCTCATGCCTGTTAGCCCAGCATTTTGGGAGGCCAAGGTGGGAGAATCACTTGAGCCCAGGAGTTGAAGACTAGCCTGGGCAACATGGCAAAATCTCATCTCTACCAAAATAATAATAATAATAATAAAATAAAAATTAGCTGAGTGTGGTAGCACACACCTGTACTCCCAGCTACTTGGGAGGTTTAGATGGGGAGATTGCTGGAGCCTAGGAGGTGGAGGTTGCAGTGAGCCGGGATCAAACCACAGCACTCCAGCCATGACAACAGAGAAAGACTCTGTCTCAAAACAAACAAACAAAATAAAACAAACAAAATACAAAATCCAACTGTGTATTTAAAGGGACTTCTATAAATCATTATTATTCAACATTTGCATGGAGGCTTCATTTTTTATTTAAAAAATGCTGTGAGTGCCAACTTTAAGTATAATCTTATTCATATAGGGTTTTTTCCCTAAAATCAATGTCAAGGAGTATTACAATCAGAAAGTTTCATATAAAGTCTTTATAATTTCCGGTAATATGTTAATACAAAAATGTTCTAAAAGGATATTTCTTTGAATCTTGAACTTTTAAGATTTAACCAAAACATTTACTGTGCAATTTAACATATGAATCTTAAGTGGTTTTTAATAAATTTGTGGACTCTTATAATTGTTTATCATATCTAATTATTTGTATAAAAAAGTAAATACATGAGACAAAAAGGAACTTTAGCAGAAAATAAAATAAAGAGGGCTTTCGTTGAGACAGAATCCCTTTCCCAGATGATACTCGGTAGGCCTTTTAGTTTACTCCTTCATTTTAATAGGAATAACTTACTCTTCAGTGGTTTCCTGAAAATAAGTTAAAGAGCATTGTAATTATTGTTGTTTTGAGACTCTGAGTAACCAAAATTCTCTTTAGGTGACTCTCCCACTTGATTTATAATGTGGCTGAGTAAATATAGAATTCTGGGTTGAATTTTATATTCCCTCAGAATTTTGAAGATAATGCTCTTGTGTTTTCTAATTTTTAATGCTGCTATCAGGAAGCCAAATGTTTTTCTTACAACAAATCCTTTGTGATCCTTTTGTTCTTGGAAGTTTTAACCTCATCTCTATCTCTAGTGAACTGAAATTTCATAATTACATTAGGCCCCTTAAATCTGGAGACTCATATCCATGTTCTGAGAAAGTTTTGAATATGATTCCTTCAGTAATTTTCTTTCTTTGTTTCTTTATTCTATCTTCTGAATACTGGGCTTCCTGAATTGAATCTCTAAATTTTTATACCTGTTCTCTCCTACTGTTATTTAATTTGTTGTTGTTCTGTTTTCAGGGAGATTTTTCTCTATCTTCTAATCTTTATTCCAAGTATATTCCCATTATCTGATTTTTAATTTTGTAAAGCTCTTTGGATTGTTGTACTGTTTCCTAATTGTTTTCTCCTTTATCTCTGTAGACAGCAATCACCATTTTCTTCTGCTGGGCTGTCTCCTTCTTCCAAGTTCCTTCCATATGTTGTTCATTTTGGTTCCTCTCTATCTCTGTTTCTCTTTTTTCTCTGTCTGCCTCTCTCTCTTTTAAGATTCAGATTTGTTGTATGGATATTGCAAAATTGTGAGGTCTGGGCTTCTAGCGTACCCATCACCCAAATAGTGAACATTACGTGAGAGTTTTGTCTATTGATGCTTGGTTGTCAGGAAGTGCTGTGTGGCCACTGGGTTTTACCATATAAAAGTCTGGGCAAGGAAGTGGTCATCTAATTCAGTCCTACAGCTTTATATACCATATGTAATATGATGGCTCTAAATCTGTTTTATCTGAAGTTCACTGATGAGCTCCAGACTTTCAACATCTCTGGTGGGATGTCTAAAAGGCATCTCAAATGTGAAAAGAAAATCAGAAATACAGATCCTTATTGCTTCACTCTTCAAACTGCTTCTTCCACAATGTTTCCCATTTTGCTTTTATACAATTGGGGATGTCAAAAACACAGGTATAATTCTTTTCTGGCCTTTCTCTTTCTTGTGCACAAGTATGCCAATTTAATCTATCAATGACTACGGTTCTAACTTCAAAATATGTTCAGAATCTAAAAACTTCTTACTGGTTTCACTCTTCCAGCTATAGCTCACACCACTGAAATTAAGATCTCCTGCTTGAATGACTGCTCTCTACTTCTATTCTTGCTCCAGTCTCCTTTTTCCACACAGCAATCAGAGGTATCTTTTTAAAAAGCAAGCCAGATCATGTGATTCTTCTGCCCAATTACCTTCACAAGCTTACTGTCACACTAAGAATAAAATCCAAAACCCTTACCAAGAAAACAGTAACCTCCAAGCCACTATTCCAAAGAGAATTCTTATTTTCAAACTCTCATTCTCTCTTCACTTTCCATATCTAATTGATCATTGAAATTTATCAATTTTAAATCCAAACATCTACATTCTTACTGTATTTATTCTCCATTGCTGCCTAGCCATTTCTTACCTGAATTACTACTGTGGGTCTCTTTTCTCCCTCATTCTAGTCTTTTGTATTTTATATTCTCTATAGACAGAGTCAATGTTTGAAACTAATATATGCTTATGTCACTCTCATGCTTCTTCCAGACTACTGGATAGAGTCCAATTTGAGAAATAAAAAGCTCTTCATGGTCTGACTTTTGCCTCCTTCTTGGCCTCACTCCCATTCACTAACATGAGTTAGTGGTACTACATGCCAAAGTTATGAAATATCTTAGTTTCCTGGAACAGCCGCTTCCATAGGCTGTGTGCCTTTCTGGAATGTCTTTCCTTCTCTTTTCCTGCTTCCAGAAAACAGTCACTGCCTCTAAGAGCATCAGTGTATACTTTAATTATGTTATGCAGCACATATATGCCAACTGTTTGACTGTGGTCTATTGATTCCACTACAGTAGAGTTTCTAACATAGGTTCAATGCATGGGTGTTAGAGGAAGCATCAGGAGAAACTATCCATCAATTCTCTAAAACTGATTATAAAACTTCGTATGCAAAGCATACTTATATTGTCCTGGGAAAAGTTTCACCTGATCTTCTATGCCGCAAAAGGCATTAGGAACCAATACCCTAGATAGTGAGATTCTTTAGGGAATATAAAAGTCTTGTTCATACTTTCTGATTTTTAAAGAGATGGGTCTCACTTTGTTGTCCAAGCTGCTGTCAAAATTCTGAGCTCCAGTGATCCTACCACTTCAGCCTCCTGAGTAGCTGGCTGTATTTACAGGTGCATGCCTCCACATCCAGCTATGTTTAATCTTTATATCTCACACTTAACCTATTGTACTGGGTACAGCATAAAGCAACTGTACACAATTGCTTGGGTATACTAGTAAGTACACATAAGCAAATATGTAGAAGCAATTGAAATGTTATTTGTATATTACTTAGACAAATATCCTTAGGTCCTTGTCCAGGCAACATAGTTGGTACCCTCTAGGTTCCCTAAAAATATTATGTTTTCTTAATCAGATTCTAAAACTTATAAATACCACCAATATGTACTCATCAAATATATACTCTTCTAAATCAGTTCTTATCCAGTCTGTTAGTCTAAGCATAACTGTCACCACCTAAGCTTTCTTCTGTTTATTTATTTTACTTTAAAATATTGTACCCTTCAATTATTTACTTTGCATCTAGACTATAAAATGTCATCTTGATTAGTTGACCCAATAGATTTTTATAATAACCAACAGACAGCTAAGTATCTATCAGGCTGTGACTCTCTAGAAAGACTGGTACATTATTTCCAGGCTCAATTTCTGTAATACCTAATAATTGACTCTTTCCAGCTTTAACTACTTTCTCCTTTAAAAGGTGAGAGTAAAGAGACATACCTTTAGCTATGCTGCAGGCTGAAGGAGCTCTGGTTCACCAGGAAAAATCAACAAAGAAGTAACACTTAGATAATCTAGTAAGCCCAGTATCCCTATATTGGAATCCCATTTGGAAAGCTAGTGTGATATATATAGATCAGGCCAGAATAAGAAATATCACTTAAATACACTGGGAAAGAGGCAAAAAAAATTTTTAGCAATATAGTTTTGTAACATTAGAGAAAATAAACAAAATAAAAAAAATGAGGTATGCAGGAACAAACTACCTCAGGTTAGGTTTCTTACCATCTTATAGAGATCTGAGACACTAATCTGGTCCGAGTCCACTACTTCAAAGTCCTTCCGAGGTACCAGGTCCAGGCCCAAATGTCTAGTAAAGAGAGAGACCACACTCAGTATGTCATGTATTTGGATTACCTATCTCTCTTTATGTGCCTGAGAACCCCTATCTGCCGCATCTCGTGGACAGAGGATCAGACACCGTCCCACAGGAACATGCCTTTATACAGCAACACCTAATTGTGTTCACTTTTGGTTAAATAAATGAGGCTAGGGATTTTAAGGCTGACACAATTCCAGTTCAGGCAGATCTACTCGTGGTGGTAAATCATTCAGTATCACATTGTATCAGCATGCTTGAGTTCCCTAAGGATAGGTTTTCTTTAGATTATTAATAAGTCAGTTTATTTTTCCATTTCTCCCCATCTGACAAATATGCTCAAGGTAAAATTTGCCTCTTAAAAGTTACTAAACTCAAAGAGATGTATCTTTTTTCTTTATTCACTTATTTTATTTTTTATTTTTATTTTAAGTTCTAGGGTACATGTGCAGGATGTGCAGGCTTGTTACACAGGTGAATGTGTGCCATGGTGGTTTGCTGTACCTAACAACCCACCACTTAGGTATTAAGCCCAGAATGCATTAGCTATTTTTCCTAATTCTGTCTCTTCCCCACCTATACCCCCAAATAGGCCCCAATGTGTGCTACTCCCCTCCGTGCGTCCATGTGTTTAAAAAGGTGTATATTTTGGCTAAGTTTTATCTCATTTTCAATTTAATTAATACTGAACTGATAAAGACCTAGCTATGTATTAGCACCAATATTTTAAGAAACATTAGATAAAAGTTTAATCAGTGAGTACTACTAGTCAAGAAAACAGTATTTGGAAGATCATTGGGGAAGGAAGAAGAAATGATGGCAATTAATGATTGACTGGGTGGCAGTATTAGGCAGTAGAAATAACTCTGGACACAGTCAGAACTTAGGTTCAAAATGGTATGTAATTTATGGTCAATAAATGTTACCTTTCTCACACTCTAAGACAACAGCTCTAAACCAGGAATTCAATGGAATTTACAGGGTTGTTGACCTTGGAAATTGCTTATGACACTGGATGAGTTTGTGTGTGTGGGTTCATTATAAATTTTTTCTGAGGAGAGGGTCTATAACTGTCATCAGAATTTTGAAGATGCTCTGTGACCACCCTCCTCCAAAACAAGGGTTATGAATTATTGTGTCTGGCAAAAGCATCTTAAGGGATTACAGAAGAAATTTTTTTTCTCTTCAACTAGACTATGAACTATTTTAGAACATGCTAGCACAGCTAAATCTGTAAGCTCTTTCTCTACATAAAACTCGTCACTGAAAATAAAATCAGGTGCACATCCAAAATTCAGATTCATTTATAATTTATGCCCTGTTTATAGCAAAATACCTGATAAAATTACACTGCAATAAGATTGATAAAATAAAAATGGAAAACCAAACTTATATGTAGAAGGTATTATAGAAGCAAATGTACTAATAGTATATACTAAAATGATTACTAGGATTAAGAAGTAAAATTTAGATGTATACTTTCTAGCAGGCAAGAAAAAAACATTTTCCTATTAAAGAATAAAAACTTATGCTTTTCTATTAGTGTTTTTTTTTCTATTATCCACTAATTAAAAAAACCACAAGTTTTTAAAGAGAAAATTTTTTTTAACCAAATGCTAAAAATAACCCACAGTTTTGCATAATGAGAAGATCAGTAATAAACTTGGCCTTATCCACAATGGTTTATAATTTAATGATAAAACTATGGCAATTGAAGTGAATGTATTTAAATCTATGAAATTTTACTTTTCTACGATTGGTATCCTGACTTCTTATGTCACAGAAACACTCCGTTCCATCACCTCTTATTAGCTATTCTTTATTTACCTGAAATAATTTCAGGCCTTTGGCTTCTAACACTTACAGCATGTAAAGGCAGCAGTGTTCATAAAGTGCAAGAGAGAGGTGCAGTACATCCCTTCTACTACCCCTCTTCTTACAAAAAGTAACTGACATTATAAAGACAATTTTGTACATATAATCTCAAATATTTAAAATACTTTTATAGGGTGTGGAAAAATAGTGGAAAGATCACAAGAATGATATTAGCATTTGTATTAGAAAACTAAAATAGTGATCTTTAAAACACTTTCCAAATTTTCTGTAGTCACACTAAACTTTTTAGAATAATAAAAAATGAAGAGACAACATTTCATACATATTATTTAATCATCTGAGGTCTCAGAATATATGTGGAATAGTCTATAATTATGAAACAACAAAAATAACAACAAATGAGTAAATAATATAATAAAAACAGATGTTTTTATGGACAGGTGCAGTAGCTCATGCCTATAATCCCAGAGCTTTAGGAGGTCAGGAAGAGATGACTGCTTGAGACCAGGAGTTTGACACCAGCCTGGGCAACTCAGTGAGACTCCATCTCTAATAAATAAATAAATAAATAAATAAATAAATAAATAAAAATTAGCCAGGTATGATGGCATGTGACTGTAGTCCCGGCTACTCAGGAGGCTGAGGTGGGAGGATCACTTGAACCCAGGAGTTTGAGGCTGCAGTGCATTATTATTGTGTCACTGCACTGAGGCCTCAGTGACAGAGTGAGACCCTGTCTCAAAAAAAAAAAAAAAAAAAAGTTTTCAGCTGGGCCTGCTGGCTCACGCCTATAATCCTAACACTTTAGGAGGTTGAAGTGGGTGGATCACCTGAGGTTGGAGTTCAAGACTGGCCTGGTCATCAAGGTGAAACCTGGCTCTACTAAAAATACAAAAATTAGCTGGGCGTGGTGGTGTGTGCCCATAATCCCTGCTTCTCAGGAGGCTGAAGCATGAGAATTACTTGAACCCGGGAGGAGGTGGTTGCCATGAGCTGAGATCATGCCACCACACTCCAGTCTGGGCGACAGGGCAAGAATCTGTCTAAAAAAAAAAAATGTATCAGATACAATAGTTTAAGAAAAATCCAGATGGCATCTAAGTCATTAGGTCTGGAATTGAGTGTATGTGTTCCTCTGTGGTAGTGCACCACACAGTGATGGCCGTGTCTGGAGACCGGCATTATTAGAACTCTATCGTAGTATCATGGCACAACTAGCTTGCTTGTACACCCCACAGAACTTTCTGAGGAACTATCATGTATCCTACCAACAGTGTTAGACATAGAGAATACAGTAGCTTTGAGTCATGCAAATGTTCATATTCTTCATGTTAATCCTCTTGAGAGCAGAGTGCTTTTCCTCTCCTAGAAGTAACCAGAGCACAGTATCTTTCAGTTTTGTAATTTATCTTGAGAAATAAGAGAATAATTAATGGGTGATCTGGTAAAAACCAAAGAGTTCCTCCTACTAAGACCATCTTTTTTTTTTTTTTTGAAATGGAGTCTCGCTCTGTTGCCCAGGTGGGGACTACAGAGGTGTGAGCTTGGCTCACCACAACCTCCGCCTTCCATGTTCAAGTGATTCTCCTGTCCCAGCCTCCCAAGTAGCTGGGACTACAGGTATGTGCTACCATGCCAGGCTAATTATTTTTTTTTTTTTATCAGCTGACACGGGGTTTCACCATGTAAGCCAGGAAGGTCTCGATATCCTGACCTTGTGACCTGCCTGCCTCAGCCTCCCACAGTGCTGGGATTATAGGCATGAGTCACTGCACCTGGCCTAAGCTACCATGTCTGGCCCCAAAATCATCTTTAATGGAGAAAGGATAGTTTGCAAAAGTTATATTAGCAACTGTCCTCATTTTAAAAAGGTAGAGATGTTGCAGAGTAAGAAGCAATACCTGCTCACTACAAACTTCACTCTCAATAAGAGGCTACTGGCTATTTTTTTCTATGGTTTACTCCAAAAATAGTGAACATCGAGTGTAGGGAATAGTCAACATGATCACTATCTTCACAGCAAAAGATGCATTGCATTATATTATTCAGGAGCATGGGTTCTGATGTCAGATCACCTGGTCTGTATCTTGGCTACTCCACCAAGCCACATTGTCTAAAATCTACTATGATAGGCTGTTATAAGGATTAATCCACATAAAGGACCCAGCACAATACCTGGCATTGTGAATTGCTACTGTTGTTTTAATTATTATCCCTATGTTACATTGTTAGCCAAAATATGGCTTAAAGTATAGGGGTCGTGATCAAACAAGTATGATGTCTGAATAAAAAACTTTTTAAACAGATGAACACAAGCAGGGGGCAAACGAGCTAAGTTTTCAGAAATGGTCTTACCAATTGTTTAGGTAAACAGTCTTCACAAAAATACTTGGTCTTCTCTCACCCATCATTGAGCATTCATTCATTAATTCCAATAATTCAACAAATACATATTAGAACCTACTCTGTGCTAAGCTCATATTGAACCTAGGGACATAGCAGCTAGTAAGGGACATAATCCTGACCCAATATTCTTTCAGGTGGAGCTCTCTGAGGCCCTGAATCTCTATTTCTTTTAAATGCTCTATATTCTATTTTGTGCTCAATTTTACCTTTTTCCTCTCCTCATCTGAACCACAGAATATAGAAAATAATCTGAAGTTAACTAATTATATACAATGGATACTTTAAGGCAGTGGTCCCCAATCTTTTTGGTACCAGGGACTGGTTTCATGGAAGTCAATTTTTCCACAGATAGGGGGAGCGGTGTAGGGGTAGGATGGTTTCAGGATGAAATCGTTCTACCTCAGATCATCAGGCATTAGATTCTCATAAGGAGAGCACAATCTAGATCTCTTGCATGCACAGTTCACTATAACAGGATTCACGCTGATTTGAGAGGAGGTGGACCTCAGGTAGTAATACTGGCTCACCTGCAACTCACCTCCTGATGTGTGGCCTAGTTCCTAACAGGGTTCTGCAGCCCAGGGGATGGGGACCCAGTATTAGTTGAGAAGAGATGGAGATGTTAAGATCTCTTGTGGGGCAGTGCCCTTTTCTAATGCTTATAGTAAAAACAGCATACAGATAAGAACTGTACTAATGAAAACATAGCATATTTATATTTATATAACATATAAAAAGATATAATTAAT